GTGACGTATGAATCTTATTATATAATCTTTAACTTATTAGAATCCTACACTCTTGAGACATTTCGTGAATTAAATGTACCATGACTAAGGAGTGTTAAGATGGTATTTACAAATGTGTCTTCTAAGATTAACGTACGTATTATGCATGGCAAAGCCTGCCCCATGAGCAGATGAGGGGCCCACCTTGTGTATACATATCAATAAATTTCACTGCATTTCATTTGTTTCGATCTAAAAAAAAAAAGAAAACCAGTTCATGTATGATCCTATTTTAACTATAAAAGACCATAGGAGTTGTAAATATGTTCTTTGTATAATTATTTCATCTTGATAAATATCATTCAGATGTCGTTTCTTCCTACCTTTTATCTATGGGGTATTAACTTCGTGACTATAACATAAGATATATGAAACTTTGATCATTTTAGATATGGTTTGGTTGAATCAAATATTCTTTATACATGTGCATTCTTTCCAAATAGTATTGAAATCTTTAAAATTGGCTTATGGTACGGCTTCCTGAGACGTATAGTGTATTTTTCTTTAGTAAGGCCCTTGAAAATAGGTTGTTTCTTTACTTTAAAATATCTTTAAAAAATTGTCCGGTGGCCGGTGGAGGGCACCTAATTTAGACTTTTACTCGACACTTATAGCCATTGATCATTAATTAAGCATCAGTAAGGGATCTTTTTCGTGCCAACATCTACATGTATACTGCGACACTGGACCTGCGTTTTTTACGGTCTCATTCGACTGACCAGTCTCCACGTCTCTTGTCGGGACCTGAGACTTTGAATTAGTTCCTGAATTACGTCGTGACTCCAAAAACGAAACACAAGAATCACTGCGCCACGAGAGGCCCTTGACATTTTGTCTGTGTAAGTACTCGAAGCTTAAGATGATAGTAGGTTTGAAAAATATACTCGGATGTCCGATGGTTTAGTATTTGCGATTCTTGTCTTTTTGTAAATATTCGATTTCAGTAAATTTACGCTGGCCTGAGATATTTCACAAGTTTAAATGAATAATATTTGTGAATTAATTTACCATACATGTTGCTTCATTTGTATGATATTCGGTTTAAAAATTCATTTCTTTTGTTCTTTCTTATTTATAAAGATAGGTATTTTCAAAACTGCTGTCAGAAAAAAAAAATAATTTACCTACCTACCTATCCAACTTGAGATTTTAGGGTCGGGTTAGGGAAACAAAGATATTTTAATGATGGCCTTGTATAACTTTTTTTAAAATTTATTTTACATTTAACAAGCCTCTATGGATAAAGATCCCTTACTACTCAATGGCCCTGAGTACATTTGAAGCCCTTCACCGGTATATGGTGACGTCACTGTATGAGTAAAAAATTCTCCAACGGGACGTAAAATTATATACAATCAATCAATCACTTGCAAATGAAATGTTATTATTACTCACGGTATTATTATTATTATGTCCCTGCATGAATCCCTTATTGCAATGCAATAGTGTCATGTATTTAGTATTTTTCTAGATTGATAATTATTGATATAGCATTGAACCACACTTTAAGTTATTTATTTTCTTTTAAGAAGTCTACATCCAATTCAAGCCATTTAATAACTCATGTAGGGGTATTACCTCTAGATAAAGAAAAAAAAAATCGAGTGTACAGATGTACTACTGATATTTTCTTGTATATAACTTAAACTTGAAAAGTCTGAAGAAGTTGCACCATTTAAAAAACAGTTAGTGCAGGCTTAGATTAGTGATTTAACTAGGTTAGGATCCCCCTCCCCAAAGGGGGGAGGGTGCAACAACGTAATTTGGCAATAAACACCATGTGACGGTACATATTGTCGTTTTGTACATATTGTCGTCGGCGACAATATGTACCCACCCTCACTGCACATATTGTCGTCCATCGGTACATATTGTCGCCGGCTGAAAAGTTACACATGTACATATTGTCGCTGGCGACATTATGTGCCTCACCCTCACTGTACATATTGTCGTCCCACAAATATTGTTGCTTAAAGATTTATTTTGTTGGTTTTTGGTAGTTTTGTGAATGTAATTGGTGCGCTAATCACACTGACGTTTCTCGTATGCTATTTCAAACAGCGTGATTGTGACGGTACATTTCGTCGTCCTGTTCATATTGTCGCCGGCGACAATATGTACCTAACCTTACTGTGCATATTGTCGTCCATCAGAACATGTCGCATGACAATGCACGGCAATGCTCCGTATAAATATAGCCAGAGAAACCAAAAACTTCAAAAATGGTCATATACACTTAATTTGATCGCCGAAATAAGGCTGAAATATTACCGACTAGGCGTAAAACAATCATAATCAATCAATCAATCCATTTAGATATGACTAATCGTTGCTTTGATGTGTTTGTAGAAGATTATTTTTAAAGAATTTTCCATATATTCATATGTAAAACTTTGATCGCCCATTGTGGCCCCACCCTAAGCCCGGTTTGCTTTGAAGAAACTTGAATCTGCGCTACCTTATGATACTTCCATATAAACATCACTAATCATGGGCCTACTGCTGTTCTCAGTGGTGTATCCAGAAATTTCAAAACGGGGGTGGGGGGGGGGGGGGTGGGCAGATCAGATTTTTTTTTTTTTTTTTGACAAGCAAAAGAATTTTAAAGTCATTTGTATGTAAAGGTGTGTTACTGTATATGTTAAGTAAATTATTTAATTATGAAATTTACCTGTGGAATAAATTGAGAGTATATACAAGTTAAACAAACATAATTTACCAAAGCAGAACAAAAAATTAACCACCGGGAAGGGGGGGGGGCACTGGTGCTACATCTTTCTGGGTTTTTTAGAAGATTTTTAAAGATTTTCTGTATATATTCCTATGTAAAACTTTGATCACCCATTTTGGCCCTACCCTACCCCTGGGGTCATGATTTGAACAAAATTGATTTTGTTTGTTTGTTGTTATAATGTCCATCTCGAGAATTTTTCATTCGTATGTAGACGTCAACACTTGCCCTTGGAGGGCTGCAAATTTAGACCTATACTTGGCACTAAGGGTCATTGAGCAGTGAGGGATCTTTTTCGTGTTAGCACCTCAAAATTGAACGTACGCTATGTAACGAAGCTTTCACGTAAGTATCATCTCTTCTGACCAAGTACTTCTTGAAAAAAAAATTTAAAGAATTTTATTCTAAATATTCTATGAAAAAACTTTGATCACCTTTGAGGGACATGATCTCAATAAAACTGAATCTACACTTCATTATGAAGCTTTCACATAAGTTTCAACTTTTCCGACACAGTGGTTCTTGAGAAGATTTTAAAAGATGTCACTAAATTTTCACTAATTCTTAAGGTCAAGATCTAGTAATTGAGTTTAGACTATCTTTTTTAAGCTATATCCATTATGACATCATAATTGATTTAAACTTTTTTCCCCGTACTTTATGGCTGTAATAGAATTATAAAGGAAATGAAGCATTTTCATGGAATTCAATATGAAATCATGTCAAAAGTAACCCCGATACCTATATTCAATTAAATATCATTTTAAAGTAGAGGTCAAGAAGATGCGAAAAACCGTTTTAAGAGAGACTGTGGGCAAAATTGATACATTTCCTTTTTTTTAGATGGAAAAACTCTGAAATTTATACCTGACTTTCTTCATTTTACAGTGAAAATGACAGTTTAAAACATGTTTTTTCATTGAGTTTACCTAAAAAATTATGTCCCGAAACACCTTATTTTACCAAGCTATATTTGCAAAGGACCATTAAAAGAACTCGCCCCTCAAATTTGAAAAATGTGTAGGCACCTTTCATTTACTAGATCTTGACCTTAACTACTTCCCTTGAAAGAGGGCATGGTCCTTCATTTGAACAAACTTCAATCCCCTTTATCCACGGATGCTTTGTGGCAAGTTTACAGACAGAGGGACGGTCATACAAAATGTGATCAGAAGGCACACTTAAACTTCCAGTTCAGGTGAACTAAAAATGAAAACCCCAACACCAATTATATCGGCACATGATTGTGTATAAGAATAACGCAATAATTTCCAAATAATCATTACTACTGAACAAAAAAACTAGTACATGTATTCAATCTCCACGTATATATTACAAGAAACAATAATAAGCTGATTTATCAGATATCTCAAGAATTACGGTATCTTGACAAATCATAGTAATGTACATCAATCCCGGACACAATTTTCTGACCAAAAAGTTTTCTCCTTAAAGTATTGCGAGTAATGCTGTCTATCTCCCTCCGTGCGTATATATTTGTTTGTCAATCTCTCTTTCCTTTCTCAAGTAAATATTCGTCAAAACAATACATCGACGACAATATATGCCGACCTTGACTGTACATATTGTCGCCGACGACAATATGTGCTGGTGCTTGACTGTACATTTTGTCGTCCATTATGCAGGAGGAAAATAAGGCTTGTCTCGGTACATATTGTCGCCGGCGACAATATGTACCGATGGATGACAATATGTGCAGTGAGGGTAGGTACATATTGTCGCCGATGTCAATATGTACAAAGCGACAATATGTACCGTCACACACCATAGTATAGAATATATGTCTTCTTTATGTTTGAGTCCTCTAAATTGTAGCAAATACGGTTTTTTTTTTTTTTTAAATATTTATAACTTTTCAAAATGTTTGGCCGTTAATCCAAAACTGAAATTGCTTCGTGCGAGTCTGTTTAAACTTGAAAAAAGTTTTTTAAATACCCTAAATCGAAAGTGTTTTTCTCGTGCTTTAAAACCCGAACTTCCATCTTGAGTTTCATAAAGAAGAAATCGAAAGGCATTGCAGTAACATGGGTATTGAATATGTTTTTGGATTTTTGATTGCATTTCCGTTAGCTGTAGAAATTGTGGCAATTGATCATGTACTGATACATGTAAGTAAATTATTTTAGATAGTATTTGTAAATGATATGTGTCACTTATATGAAAAAAAAAATAATTGCACGTTTTAAAGGTATTTTTTCATATATAAAGGGAATTCAAGAATGTAAAGAATCGTTGGATACAGTTCATCCTGTTGACCATTGTCCCTCAGATGAAAAGTCATGGAAGGAGGCTGAATTTAAAAAAAAAGATGTGGAGAAATTAAACAAAATTGTGTAAATGCCAAGCGCTTTCTCTATCATTGTATTTTAAATGAGATGATGAATCAAACGATCGAAGTGTGCGCTCCATTTAGGGTGATGTTTGGTATGTATAGAGAGAGAGAGAGAGAGAGAGAGAGAGAGAGAATATAGTAGTACTCTTTTGGAAATCTATTCAATATTTCTTCTACTTAAAGATTTTCTTTGATTTCGACATCCTGAGTGCGTGTATAGTTTATAGCATTGACAAGAAGAATGCTGCATGCCGATAATTGTTTAAGAAAGGATTACAGCAATTAACGCTATGTTTTGGGGTCTTTTTTATGGAACGCCATAGCTGCCTGAAGGTCATTTTCATTTTATATGAGGTGGTATAACCTTTATGTGAAGTGGTTAAGTCATTATATATAGTGGTAAAATCATTATATTCAATGAAAACTTTATAATATGCAGTGGTTTTATCTTTATATACAGTGGTAAAATCATTATATACAGTGATAAAATCATTATATTCATTGATGACTTTATTATATGCAGTGGTTTTATCATTATATTCAGTGGCAATGTCATTATATGTAGTGGTTAAATAATGTAATGAAGTGATAGTACCGTTACATTATGCTGTAAAATCATTATATGCAGTGGTTTTTCCATTATATACATTACTGATATCTTTCTGTGATGTGATAAATTCAATATATACAGTACAAACATAATTTGTGTGATAAAGCAATCATTACATTGTATGAAACCCGCTGCATGTGGAGTGCCAAGTTAATTTCATTCAGTGCGACACCTTTACATGAAGTGAAAAATCTATTATGTGCAGTACTAAGATCATTATATTATATAGTAAAATTATTATACATATTCCTAAAATCATACTTTGCAGTGGTAACATCTTTATATGAGGTGGTTAATTAATTATATGATGTTGTTAATTTGTTATATGATGTGCTCAAATCTTTATATGCATTAGACGTTTCATGTTATGCAGTGGTAACTTCTTTATCATCATCTTAACTGGTCCTCTTGCAAAAACATTTTTAAAAAATGCGCGGAGTTCCAGTTTAAAGAGTGTTTGAAAATAGGAAACCCGGGCCGTGGCAAATTAAAAGCCGGGACTATTCGAGATTTTTCAAATTTCTGATTTAAAATTTTCAGACTCTTTTTTTAGGCTAATGTGTTTTTGCTGTAAAAATTGTATTTAAATACTTGGTATTTTAGATTTTCTTTACGATTTTTGGTTTCAAGTAAAATTGGTAGGCAGTTTCAATTTCCTGATTTAATATTTTATCCATTGTGGTATAAGTACTTAGTATTTTAGAATTTTTTTTGACGATTGTTGATTTCCATGTTGGTAAAATGGGTAGACTGGGTTGGCGATATTTTATGTGTGTGTGTGTGTGTGTGTGTGTGTGTGTTTTTGTTTTTGACATATTTGATAAAAATCTAATAAACTTAAAAATTATTCCGATGTTAAACACTGTATTTTAACTAAAAAAAACTTTTTCTTTTTGATGGTTATTTCTTTATTTGAAAATGCTATTTTTATGCAAAATACACATTTTCATTAAAAAAGGGATTATTAAACCAGATCCGATCATCCGGGAAGAACCTGGTGCAAAACACCATAAATCATTTCTAATTTCATAATATGCAAATGTGCACTGGTACATGTATCTATATGCTAGAAGATGGAAGGAAACTGGATTACGTTAAATATGTAATTTGTTTAATACTTTTTTCGGGGTGGGGGTGGGGGGTGGGGTGTTAAATTACTAATATCAACTATTTATAAGACTGTTTCTAAGACTTCAGAAAACCTTAAATCACATTGAAAAATCGCTGCATGAAAACATTTCATTTTCAAGTTTCATATTTGCCGTCGCCAACGTGGCACGGTGATTAGAGTGTCTGCTCTAAGAGACGCGGAATAAGGAGTCAATCCTTACGTCACGGGTTCGAATCCGACAGTGGGACGTTAAGACCGGTCCTTCGTAAGAGACCGCATAAAGCCATAAACCGAGGTCCCGTTCCACAGTAGGTGTTGGCACGAAAAAAATCCCTCACTGCTCAATGGCCGTAAGTGTCGAGTATAGGACAAAATTTGCAGCTCTCCACTGGCAAATTGTGGCGTCTCCATATGAGTGAAAAATTCTCGAGAGGGACGTTAAACAGCAAACAAACAACCAAATAAAAATCATTTTAGCCTTTTTGAATAAAATGATAAAATTAAGAGTTATCCTTCAAGGCTGAGGATCGGATATCCTTAAACCAAGCAACTTACGCGTGATTAAAGTTTGACACAAGGCTTTGCATTAATAGTCCTATAATTACATGTATATGTGATAATTCTTTAATTAATTTATATTTTATCAAATGGCATGTAGATAATGAATAAGTATTTCGGATTTTTTATGTTTGACTTCCGGGAGATCAAATCCGATTTTAATGAACCATTGGCGTCGGAAGGAAATTGATAGTGGGGTGGCTAATTGAAATAAAAAAAAAATCAAACCTGAAAAAAAACTTGACAAGCAAAAAAAAAAAAAGGAAAATTGTTCTTTCTCCAAACCCGAAAATCCTATTTCGGGGGTGTGGGTGGATGGGGGGGGGGGGGGGGGGTTGGTCGAACATCTTTCAGTATCAAATTTTTTTAAACACTACCAATTACCCTTCTTTCACTACAATGAATCGTGCCTGTAGAAAGTGGGGAGGGGGGAGGCTAGACCTACGCCCGAATTTTCAATGCCTATATTATGTCTACCTTTGTAAAAAAAAAAAAGAGAGGGGGGCAATAGCCCCCTCCCCCCCCCCCCCCCCCCGGTTCCGACGCCTATGTGAACCGGTTTTTCTTAAACGTGTCATTTCACTCAAAAAATGCCTTTCAAAGAATGAATAATTTTTAACATCAGAATAATTTAAAAGTTTATAAGCTTTCTGTCAAATATGGCAAAAAAAAAAAACAAACAAACAAACAAACAAAAAACAACAAACAAACGAAACACGTAAAATGTCTACTTGATTGCCTACCCGATTTACCAACCTCACGGGCGGATTCAGAGAGGGCCTATGCCCCCCCCCCCCTTGTGTCCAAAATATACATAAGATTTAATAAATCAATTGTTTTTTGGTTTGGCTTTGGGCTACCTACCCCGACCAAAAACTTGTCGGGCCCCCCTTTTCAAGATTCCTGGATCCACCACTGAACTTGGAAATCAACAATCGCCAAGAAAATCTAAATTACTAAGTATTTTAAAATTAAATGCAATTTTTACAGCGAATACACATTAACCTATAAAAATGAGTCTTAAAATTTCAGCACAGTTGATCAAATCAGGAAGCTGTATAATAGAATCAGAAATTAGAAAAATCTCGAATAGTCCCGGCTTTTAATTTGCCACGGCCCGGGTTTCCTATTTTCAAACACTCTTTAAACTGGAACTCCGCGCATTTTTTAAAAATGTTTTTGCAAGAGGACCAGTTTAGATGATGATAAAGAAGTTACCACTGCATAACATGAAACGTCTAATGCATATAAAGATTTGAGCACATCATATAACAAATTAACAACATCATATAATTAATTAACCACCTCATATAAAGATGTTACTACTGCAAAGCATGATTTAAGGAATATATATGATAATTTGACTATATAATATAATGATGTTAGTACTGTACATAATAGATTTTTCACTTCATGTAAAGGTGTCGCACTGAATGAAATTAACTTGGCACTCCACATGCAGTGGGTTTCATACAATGTAATGATTGCTTTATCACACAAATTATGTTTGTACTGTATATATTGAATTCATCACATCACAGAAAGATATCAGTAATGTATAAAATGGAAAAACCACTGCATATAATGATTTTACAGCATAATGTATCGATATTATCACTTCATTACATTATTTAACCACTACATATAATGACATTGCCACTGTATATAATGATAAAACCACTGCATATAATAAAGTTTTCAATGAATATAATGATTTTATCACTGTATATAATGATAAAACCACTGCATATAATAAAGTTTTCATTGAATATAATGATTTTACCACTATATATAATGACTTCACCACTTCACATAAAGGTTATACCACCTCATATAATATGAAAATGACCTTCAGGCAGCTATGGCGTTCCATACTTTTTGCTCGATTCTGTTGCTTTCATTTCTTAACCTTATTTCACTTTTTTTTAAAGAGTCTTGTCAAATTGGAACAAAATTTAAATGTTAAACTGGTATGAATCTTTTAATTCTGAGTCAGGAGAAAACAGCTTATTGATTGCAGCTTACACCAGAACTTCACTTCAGGCTTTTAAACTTATGTAATAATCTGTCATCTGCCTCAGGAGATGACAATAAAACTATGCACGAGAGACGGAGCTAAAATTCTCTTACAGTGTACATTTCATGTTATATACAGTACATTCGTCAATATATGTAGCATTTCTTTTATAATATATTTAATGATAATTATCAATGATCAGCGGTAAATATTAATAAATTATTTATTGTCTAAGATTACGTGCTTTCGATTTTGCATTTCTTTATGATGTAGACACAGTATTATATGCATCGGATAGGCAAGAAATATCGTTACAAATTAAACATAATGTATTAATGTAGTAGAGCAATCCATCCAATAATAGCATTTAAATTAATTCATCTCATAGCAATGCATTTGATGTCTATGAATTAAAATTATTCATTATTCTAGATGTCTGGTTTTCATGATCGATATTCCATTTTGCTAAATTTAGACAAAAAAGGTTTTGTTTTCCTTAAAAGAAGTACGACCCTTAACTGCATCACCTGTACAAGCATATTCAAAATAAAACATTAAAAAATATTGAGTACATTTGATAATCATCAACAAAAGAGTTTACACCTATATACTTCTGTGTTTGGTCGCTTTGTACTGTACGCATAATATTAAAGCAACTATTCGGACTTAACGCACCTAATGCTACATGTATCAGGTAGCAATATGTTTTAAAGATGTCAGACACGTATTGCATAATTTGATATATATTTACCCCCCTCCCCCCCCCCAAAAAAAAATCACTTTTTTTAAAGGTAAATTTATGGGATTACAAATAAAAAAGCGCAGAAAGCATAGCATTTAGGGTTTTATTGAGTTCTACTAGGAACACTAAATCCGACATTTCTAAATGTTTTTCAAGTGCATTGTAAACCTTCAAAACACCAAAGAATAGTCCATAAATAATTTACAATACTCTTATAGAACACCGGGACTATTATATACATATCTGAAATCCTTTATGCATGCAATAAAACGTGATATAATTACGAGCAGAAGGTGTATATGTGTTTTGTTGTTTAGAAATACTTCAGTATTATTTAAAATTGATTTTCACAGGATATTGTCCGGTATTTTCACTGATTGGTGCAAGGATCTACCATAATTATGCGAGTGAGTGCAAACAACTTTTGAAGCGTTGCCCAGAGGATTTTGAATCAAATCATCTTTATCAGTGTAAGTACACTCACTTTTTTTTAATATATGACTCTCTCTCTTTCTCTCTATGAACGAGTATCTTGCCAAACATTGTATAGGCTACTTTAGTTTACCTGTTTTGCATGCACTGCATAAAATTCTTATTACGCTAGCATTTTTGTCGAATCTGGCCTCCAAATCTTTGGTTAATATGTATTGTCCCTTTAATTACAAAAACTTCTTGAAAGATCCCCGTTGTACGTAATGGATCATCCGTGCCTACACCAATGAATCATATTTACAAACATTTTTACTTGAAATCTGCAGGCGCATGTAATCTTTGAAAATTTTTTTGCCCACCACTGTAAGATTCTCAACAACACTTGTGCACAGTTGCCATCTTTTATACACACTACATGACGTCACAATTACAAGGACACTAATACAGTTCACATGACAAGCGGCATAACTCTGTAAATCTTGTTACATCTCCCTTTTTAAGATATTTGTGCGTTTACAGTTTTACAAATCAGAGAATCCTATTGCTAAATAAATATACTGTAAATTTGAAATGTCCGAATTTAGAGTTCTGTGTATTTCAATTATTCATAACATGATAACAATAAAACATTTCTTAAACAAATCCGCCGCATTTCAAAACATCACTGGACACATGAATTAACTTTAAACAGAAAAAGAGTTTGGTAACGTCCATACTTGTAGACAAACACAACACTGAAATTATTACAAGCGTTAAGTTTGGTATCTTGCCGGTAACACTGACGCTCTTCCCGACCTTGTGAATCAGACTTTGGGATTTGAAATTTTCACATTTTCATTATTTTCACATATTTTGACACTTTCACTTTTCACTGCCTTTACTGGCTGACACGACTCTTTACTACCTATAACACTCCTCGAATCTGTATGCGTTGAATCTGCCTGCATTGGTGGAATGATCACTACGTCGTCTTCTTCCTCCCTAGAATTTTCTGGAACACTCCTTTCCTTGGTTTTCACTAAATCCTTGTGATTTCTCCTGAATATGCGGTTTCCTGATTTTACTATGTAGGATCTTGGTTCCTCGCATTGTTTGACGACTTGTCCTGGATTCCATGAAGTTGATGATGATTGATGTGAACGAATTCTAATTACGTCTCCTTCTGATAATGGTGTTCTTTCTTTGGTATTTCTATCATAGTAGTGTTTTTGCTTCTGCTGTTTAAATTGTAGATTTTTCCTGACGGATTTCCCAGGGAAGTTGTTGGGTGTGTAGAGTGACGATTTGGCTGGAACGAAAGATCTGGTTCTGCGACCCATCAGAAGTAGCACAGGTGTTTTCATTTTATTCAGGTAAAATTATCACAGAATGTCATGATAACACACAATTAAAACATTACAGATTAGCCCACTAATAGAAAAAAACAGACATTATCTCAGCACTATGCTACTTAATAAAGATCTAATTGAGCATATACATGTATTATTATATAAATTACATGACATACAGATGATAGGTATTACCTAAGGATAGCCCATAAAAGCCTTTTTAAAAAAGCTTATTTCCAATGGGGTCCTTAAATTACAAATACGTTAGTAACAAAAAAATTACATTAATAATGGAATTTAGGCAGGGTACTTAAATGAATATAGCATAATGCTTTGAAAAATGACATGTTTCTCATTACACATTTTCCTTAAAAATTATCACAATAATGCTTATAAAACTAAAATAAAATTAAATAGAAATAAAATTAGACAAGTCTTCACGTAGTATCACTAGCATTTTTAGATAAAAAAGATCTTACAGCTTTCTTAAATTTTTGTTTAGTACTCATCTCCTTGATCTCACGTGGCAATGCATTCCAGTCTTTAATAGCATTATAGAAAAAACATGTAGACTCTTTCCCTTTTATCTTAGGTACATGAAAATTCTTATTAGTTGCACTTCTTGTTATATTATTATTCAGCACAAAATGATCATGGAGATAAGCTGGTGCATTTCCATGATATATATTAAAAACATGGTTTAATCTTAATTGTTTAACTCTATCTTCCACTCTTAACATATTCAGAGAGTCTAAAATATTACTAGAAATACTCTCTCTTGGACCAAGGTTTAAAATGAACCTTACTACTTTGTTCTGGGTAACTTGTAATCTGTGTTTAAGTTGCTTATTTATTCCGCAATACCAAGAAGAACAGGCATAGTCAAAGTAACACTGTATCAAGGCAGAACATAGGGTCTTTCTAGACTGTGTACTAAGACAAGATGCATTTCTATATAAAAATTTAAGTCTGGCATTAACTTTTTGTATAATGCTTAATACAATATTTTCACATGAAAGAAACTTGTCAATACAGATTCCTAAATATTTAACGCTTTCAGAACCTATAATAACATGACCATTGCACAAAATTTTAAAATCTGTGATATTTTTAAGCTTTCTCGGAGGACCAAATAAAATAGATTCTGTCTTACCTAAGTGAAGTGACAATCTATTATCAACTAACCATGAAGAACATTTATCCAGAACACTGCCCAGTTTATGAGCAATAATAGCAGGATCTTTGTGTGCATAAAAAATAGCACTATCATCAGCATATAAAATTAATTTACAGTCATCATCAATACTGACAGCCATATCGTTTACATAGATTAAAAATAAAAGAGGTCCTAAAATACTTCCCTGAGGAACACCACAGTTTATCGAATTAAAATCTGATGAAATGTTGTTGACATGGACTTGTTGCTGTCTACAGGACAGATAAGATTTGAACCACGCAGTGGATAAAACTCCTAAAACTTCTAACTTATCACATAAAATTGTATGGTCAACAGTATCAAAAGCTTTTTGTAAATCTAACATTACCATACCTGTAAAAAGCCCTTTAGATGTATTACTTTTAATAAAATCTAACATGTGTATTAAACAAGTATCTGTTGAAAATTTATTTCTAAAACCTGATTGGTATGAATACAACAAGTGATTATTGTTTAAAAAATCTAAAAGTTGAACATGAACACATTTTTCCAAAATTTTTGACACTATACACAGTATACTGACTGGCCTGTAATTTCCGACTTCAAGGGAATTTCCTTTTTTGAAGAGAGGTTTGACTCTCGCCATTTTAAAGTCTTCTGGTACGGTACCGGTGATTATAGATTTATTTACAATGGACATAATAGGTTCCTTGATATAAAAAGCACCATCTTTTAAAAACCTTGCTGGTATATTATCTAAACCAGTACTTTTGTTTACATTCAGATTTTTCAGTTCTTTATAAATAAAATCTTCAGACACAGGTTGAAGTACTAAAGTTTTTTTTTCTATGTTTTTATCTGCATAAAACTGTCTAAATACCTTTGATGTAACAGAAAATACATGTAAAGGACTAGGTAATTTGCTTACAAGTTTTAATGCAATAGTAGTAAAAAAACAATTAAAATAATCCGCTATAGTTTTGCCTTCATGGTGTACTTTACCATCTATGTTTAAAACAATATTTTCGCTACTTTTTTGTTTGGTTTTGTATCCAATGTTCTTAAGCTGTTGCCACAACTTCTTGGGCTCTGACCTATTTTCCTCAATTTTATCTTGAAAATAAGAAGATCTGGCTTTTCTAACTTCTCTCTGCACTAAATTTCTTAATTTACAAAAAATTTTATTGTCTTCATGACTTTTATGTTTTCTATACAAATACAAATGTTTATCCCTATCTCTAATGAGGCCTAAAATATATGATGTCATCCATGGCTCTGTTCTTTGCTTAACCCTTATTTCAATAACAGGAGCTAAAGTATCTAAAATATTGGTAAATATTTGTTTAAAAATAGACCAAGCTCCATTGACACAAGTTGAATTTATACAATCACTCCAGTCTACACTTGATAAAAGAAACTGTAGCGATTCGATGGAATAATTCTTCAAGCATCTAATCTTGATAATATTATGACTTTTAAAATGGCCCCTAGGGACTTTTCTAGTACAAAATGTCAAAAAATGATCACTAATACCCGTGGTAATAACACCAGAGTTAACAATATTTTCTTTAGAATTACATAAAATGTGGTCAATAATAGACTCTGTGCCACGTGTAACTCTTGTAGGGTCAATAATAATTTGGCAAAAACTAAATAAACTTAAAATATTCATATATGATTTGTATAACGGGTTGCTTTTTCTGGATGTACAGATATTGAAGTCCCCCAGTATAATTGTTTCACAGTCGGTGCGTAATTTACAGAGATCTTCTTCCCAGTGGTCGATAAAAGAAGTTTGGGTGGGAGGACGATAGCAAACTCCAACAATAATAGGTTTAGTTTTTGGCAAATAAAGTTCTAACCATAGTGACTCAAGATTTTCGTTATCTATATCAATTCTTCTGGCAAACGCAAGATTGGATCGTATATAAACACAAACACCTCCTCCTGATCTATTCCGATCCTTCCTAAGAACATAATAGTCTTCGATAGAAATCTCATTGTCTGTAACCGAGTTATCAATCCATGTTTCTGAAATAGCTATAACTGAGGCCTTGGATTTTCTTGCAATAATACGCAGCTCGGCTATTTTTGGTAATAGAGAACGTGCGTTTAAATGAATGAAGTGCATTCCTTTCAATTCAAAACACTCGAACTGCTCATCTGTAAAAATTTTAGACTCATCTTTATCTTCATGTTTTCTGAGATTTGGAGGTCCTGGGTTTAATTGAACATCACCACTGAGTATTAACAGCAGCATGAGTAATGATTTTGGAGATGGACTAATGTAGTTAACAGTTAATACATGTTTATTTGTATTCAGTTCGAATTTCCTCGCTGATGTCGAGATCACATATTTAAAAAGTTCAGCATTGATTATATTTTCGGACGAAATAAAAGTGTTGTTCACTAGAATATAACTACAGTAATGCTTGTCCAATTCACTATGATCTTTAAAAAGTTTAAAAACTAGTAAAACAATTAAAATCTGAGCTGCTAACAAAAAAGCGCGCAAACCTGCCGCCATCCCGATCCCAAGTCCGCGAAAGTGAAA